GTGGAGGAACGAAACGTTTGAAGCAGTTTGTTTGTTCCTCTATAGACAGGAACACTGGATTGTAGGCCATGCAGGAGCTCTGTGATGTTTAATTCTTAACTTGCCCCCCACGCTGTAGCTAATTCATGGATCCAGGTTGATCTTGGAGAGACTAAGAAGGTGACAGGCATCGTAATTCAAGGCTGCCCAGATGCTGATCACTGGGTCACATCATTCAAGGTGCAAAGCAGCATGGATGGCAGGACCTGGCGAGACTATGTGAATGATGGAAAGGTAATCAGAGAAGAATTTCAGCTCTATATTTTCACCCAGCAGGCGCGATGATTCATATAATCCATACATTGCTCTTGTGGTGGGTGTGCGCAGGGGTTTCCTGGAAGTGTTGACAGCACTACAAAGGAGACACAGCTCTTTGGCACGCCTCTCTCCGTTCAGTACATCCGGGTCCTGCCGCTGTCCAGCAACACACTGCCTGGACTTCGCATGGAGCTACTGGGATGCAAATCAAACTGTAAGTTAAAAAGGCTTTGAAGCTCCTTTAAGGAGTACCCAGTAGTACAGTATCTCACTGACGATATAATTATTAATAATATTTCCTCATATTTATTTAGAGCTTTTCTGGAAACTCCACTCAAAGTGCTTTATAGGTAATGGGGACTCCCCTCAACCACCACCACCAATAGATGATGCAATGGCAGCCATAGTGCGCCAGTACACTCAACACACACCAGCTATCAGTGGGGAGGAGAGCAGAGTAATGAAGCCAATTCATAGATGGTGATTATTAGGAGGCTATAATTGGTAAAGGCCAATGGGACATTTTGGTCAGGATGCCGGGGTAACAGCCCTACTCTTTTTGAGAAACGCCCTGGCATTTTTAATGACCACAGAGAGTCAGGACCTCGGTTTTACATCACAACCAAAGGAAGGCTTTTAACGGTATAGCGTCCCCTTCACTAATGCAGTGGAGCATTAACACCCACACAGACCACAGGGTGAGCGCCCCCTACTGGTCCGTCTAACATCTCTTCCAGCAGCAGCCTTAGTTCTTCCCAGGAGGTCTCCCATCCAGGTACTGACCAGGCTCACACCTGCTGAGATCCAGTGGGCCATAGGCCTCCAATGTTTTGTAGCTCCCAGTATCAAGGATCATGTACTCACACAGAAACCAGATACTGTACGTATGACTCCCCCTTGTCTAAAGGAGACAGCGCTTCCTCAGGAGTGATGCTGCAGTATAGTAAATCTAAGCAAAAATGTCAGTGAATACTGATTGTATGAAAACGAAATATTTTCTCCCCAGATACCGTGACCTGTGGATCAGTCCCTGCATATAGCTTCATCAGCGATAGAAAACTGTAAGTCAGCCTTGAACAAGAATAATCAGTGTTGCTCTCAAATCTTTGATCGTGTGACTCTTAATAAAATTTCCTCAGCTTGCTTCCCACATATGACATCCATGACATGGTTTTGAATTTTGGATTATTGAGTTATGTTGCATATGCATGAACCTAAACAAACATATACAGTACATAGTACACACACTGTACTGGTCTCCATGTACAGACAGCCTCTAAGACAGAGCAATATTGTTGTTTTTCACTGCAATCCCTAAACTCACAAACACCTTTTCACCCCCTCTTGCGCAGTATGATTGAGATACGTGTGAGAAAGTAGTATGATTGCCATATGACCAGGAAGGGATTTTAAAACTGAAAGATGTTGATATGTCAATTCAGTGTTGTACCAGTGCAGAGATGGTGTTCAATGCCCATGCACTGTCTGGAACCAGCTGTTCACTATGAAAGCTAAACTGAATGATACTGGTTAGCAAATTAGTTTCATTCTTCAGATGTTCATGCGATCCAGTAATTTTGTTCGGAATGTTGAAATCCCATCCTATGAGCACGTGAAGGCACACGGTCATCCTCCTAAGTCAACTTCACTTCCCCCACTTCACTAAGAGAGCTATAATACAAATTGAGAAACATGTTGGTTTATCTTGTTCTTTATTCTTCTAATGTTTATAAATAGTTCAAAAAAGTATTTATTGTATTTCCTGGGTTAAATGACCTTTTCTTAAAAATATTTGTCTGTCTCAGGGTCCACTGTCCTGCTGGTTGTGCATCAGAGCCTTACAATGTCTTTGGTTCTGGAGTATACAGAGGTGTAAGTGGATATGTTGACATGAAACCTGCTATCTATCACCCCACAGTAATCTCCTAATCTCCTTTATAATATGAATGATGATTTTGGTGATTTTAAGCCTACCTAAAACAATAATCCAGCCAAGAATACCGATTTAATTATCATTTGCAATAACAAATCTCTTGGAAATACTGTTTATATAAAGTAAGCCACTGTTTCTCGCGATTGCTTATAAAAATAGTTTTTTTTGCCAGTTTGGTTTGTAAAGCAAGTATATAGTGTCAATATCAGATATTTCTAAGAGTTTGTTCAATTCAAGCTTATTATCCACTGGGGGAAATTGTTTTTACGACGCAGTCCAATTTTAGAATACAACAAGGAAGACAAACATTATCATCAGATAAGGAAGTACAATTGTTTTACAGGAGATTAGAGAGTTACTTTATATTGTTTGAGATATTACAGCAGGGATGAAAGATTTCCTGTGCCAATGAATTTAATTCCTTTGTCTCCCAGATTGGACTAGTGTAAATTCACACACTCCATAATGCTCTGCTCTTCTTTACAACCCTCGGTTTGTAAAGGATATTTAAGTTTATTTGATTAAGCCAAAATATGATGCTGCTTTTTCACTATTCCTTACCCATCCTAATACAATTAACGTACGTAACGTAATATGTTGAGGCACTCTCAATGCATGACTTATAGAAAAATGTGAAAATAGTTCCACCTACTGTACCTTGAAATAACTGAGCTTCATAAGAACAAAATACCTCTGTTGGCCTTTTTTATAAGTGGTATCACAACATTTGTCCAATCTTAGGTCTGTGTCTATGACCAATCCCAAGGACACATAATCATTGAAAGTTTCTGCACTTTGACTGTTAATTACAGTAGATCTGTGGGGTGTTGCATTTTTCCTAAAATCAATGACCAGTTCCTTTGCTTTGACGACATTTAACTTCAAAGAGAACCCACACCGCCATCACATTGGATAGTTTGTATCACAAAATTTTAAAACAGAGATTCTACAGTATGTTTAAAATGCAAGATGGCATTTTACAATCAAATTGTTTTTTTTTTATGGGTTTTTGAAACCACCCATTCATTTACTAATTAAATCATAAAAAACATTTCAGTCCATAGTTTTCTTCATTAAAAGTTGTTCTTTTCTTGCCTTGACACTGCGTAGTTCAACTTTTAATCCGTAGCTTGCATTGCGATTCCATTGCTGCACAGATATCGCTCTGATTTACTGTTCTTGACTGCATGTCTGGAATGAAGCAGTTTTTAATAGTTGTGGTAAGAGCTACAGCCTGTAAGTGCATGCTGAGCCAGGTTTCCCATCTGCAGGACTCCAACATCTGTGCAGCCGCGATACATGCGGGAGTGATCCTCAATGAGCGCGGGGGAGACTGCACAATGCTGAGACAGCCAGGACTTTCTCTGTATCCCGGGAGCAGCAGGAATGGGATCACGACCAAACAGTACGTTCGGCCTTATGAACCTTCACCTTAACCCTGCCTCCCACAGGGAACAGATTTCATAACGGTCACTGAGTTTGGAAACCTCCATCACTGGACTGGGACTTTTTCTATCGCAGTGACGATTTGGTAATTTTTTAGAATCCTTTATTTAAAAAAAAAGGCAGGTCGGCAGAGAACAGTTGCATGGTCTTTACAACACAAAGCTCGGCCAATGGAGCACCGCTTTGTGCAGAAAAAAGCAAGACAGCAGTGAAAGTACAAAAAGCACAATCAGTAAAATATAACGGGACACCGCCCGTCGTCGCAGGCAGCGCAGCAGGGGCACGTGGGACACCGTACCTGGGACATCGCATGTTTGTAGGGAGTGACCCAGGCAGACACAAGGGGTCGCTGTGACTGGGAGAGCCCCGAGCCTACCGATCAGTGGTTCTCAACCTTTTTGGCCGAGGAACTCCCTGGAGGGTGGGCCCTGTCCTCAGGTATCCCCTAAGGTTATCATAGGCATAGAACGCTAAGAAAGGGGTGTTTTTTTTTTTTTGCATGTATGTATGTGCTGTATCATATTGGAATAATAAATAAATCTGCATATATCATTTATAATCTAAATGATTTCAAAATTAACTGATAAATAGTTTCCTAAAAACTACGCACATGAAAATCTGTCATTTTGGAGGTGACGCCCGAGGTACCCCCCTGGTACATCTCGAGGTACCCCAGGGGTACACCTATACGCCAGTTGAGAACCACTGGATTAATTTCACACACCATAACCTTTGCTGGGCCAGCCACTTGGTAGGTCTACTGTCTTTCTGTGGATATAATTTTATTGTTAAAAGTTTTTGAAAATGAGAGCTTTAACCAACAGATAAACAGATTTTTTTTAAAGCAATAGCAACTCCGTCTGTTCTGAACTTTGGTATTTCATGGGGTTTTTTTCAGTAAAAATGTTATCATTCGTGAGTCCTACTTTATTAAAAAGAAACGATGGTTCGCCTGTGTTACCCTTTGTGATCTGTAAGAGACACTGCTATCTTTTCCTACTTTTTTCTTCACAGGTATAATGGCAACTTCCCCTACTCCTACAGTTTTGCTGATGGTGGTATGTGATATTGCTTAACAAGACATTCAAATCAAGCAGCAGACTGTGTTCAATGCAATACATTTAATTGATGTGGATAACTAGTAAGATGCATGACCAAGCATTAATAAACATCTTGTAACATAATGAATAGCTGGAGAAGTGAATGTCAAAAGAATCCCTTGTTCAGCTAGTTTGGATTGCATCTTTTTAAAGGAAATAGTGAAGGAATTTGTGACAGGTGGGCTTTGAAAATGAAAGATGTTTGTTCAGTGTGACACATAATTCCCCTGGTAATTCTAATCCAAACTGTATGACAATCTTTGTGCTTTAGAACATAAGGATGGGCTCAGATAATCCTATTACAAACAAAAAAATAACAATGAAAAATATTTTCCAGTGACTGCCAGTTCCCGTCAGCAGCATAAATATTTCCATTGTCTTTTAATTTTTAGTCTAATGTCTCATCTAGGAGGAGACCATGGAAACAGTAAATGTCTCCTAATAATCTTTGATGGGGTCAGAATAAAGCATTAGATTCTGTGCAGGAAAAGTGCTCTTTTACAGGAGCTAGGATAAATTGTCTTGATTATTTCATTGTAGACAATACAACCAAGACTGCATTTGAGTAAAACAGATGGGACTAAACTCATTTTAATTTTGTGTTTTGTGCATGTTATGGAGAAAAATGTTCAGAATATATATACAGTATATAACAATACATAAACAATAGCTAATAATACATTTAGCCATCAGCTGTATCACCCTGCAACTCTCCAATAGCAGCCCATTGAAGCTGAGCAGGTGTGAGCCCGGTCAGTACCTGGATGGGAGACCTCCTGGGAAAAACTAAGGCTGCTGCTGGAAGAGGTGTTAGAGGGGGCAGTAGGGGGCGCTCAATTTCCCTCTGGCCTTTACCAATCATGCACTTTGGCTGCTGTAACATCAGGCAGGTGGAGCTGCACATCAGTAGTGGTGGTGGAGGGGAGTCCCCATTACCTGTAAAGCACTTTGATTGCACTGTCCAGGAAAGCACTATATAAGTCTAAGGATATTATTGTTATTATTTTAGAAAACAGGAGATACAGTGGAAAAAATGCCAGAGTTCCAGAGTAATGTAAATTTATGAATGAACCAGTTACAGAAGTGACATCGCCCTGATCTTTTAGTGTGGTGCTTGCTTGAGATTGCTGCTAATTCTGTGATAATATAACTTTTCAGAAATGAGATGTGCTGGGCCAGATTGGCATGAATTTGGAGATTTCTGCTACAAACCGTTCGTTAACGAACTGACCTGGCAGAACGCCCACGATAGGTGTAAGGCAATTGGAGCCGATCTAGTATCAATCATGTCCCTAACAGAGCAGAGCTGGCTGGAGAGTTACCTCTATTTGGGTAAGTCGAAACATGTACAGTATGCGTGTCTTTTTAACTGCAGTAGGTCAAATATTAAGAATGTAATTGGGAAAGGGATAGAGTCATTTCACAAGGCTTTTCTGAGTTTCGTCCTTCTCTTAGATGGGATAAAATTTAAAGTTCCGTGGAACTGAATGGACGTCTGTAACACAGATACTGTATCTGCTTCATAATGCGCTGCCTGGCATGGCTGAGAAATCAAGGGTAATGGAACACAGGAACGGGAACTGCAGTTCCCTCTCATCCCACTAGGAGGCATCATATATATTCAGTATACTAGTCTAGAGGCCTGCACGGGCAAGAAATTGAAGGCCGAATCCAGGCCCGTACCCGAGACCTTGAGACCCGCCCCGCCCCGACCGAGCCCGAATGGTACTGCCAAATTTGAAACCCGAACCCGAAATCGGTCACACTCTTTTCCTCTCAGTGCGAGTAGACACACACCTGCACACATGGATGACGGATTCTCACAGACGCGGTTTTACGATGCTTTGCTCGGCAGCTACCGTATGCGCTTGAGGTGATAGAAAATGCCGTGCTTCTGAGAAAAACTGGTATTTTATGTGTTTTCGTTTTATTTCATCCATTGCGAACAGTTAGCTACTGTAAGAAGGCTCTGTTACACACATAGGAGAGAGAGATGAGTTACGAATTTCTTCTAATAAAAATACATTTAAAACATAAAATAATAATAATTTATTCGATACTTTGTCGAGCTACGTCGGGCTTGGGTCGGGTAGCAGACCTCTAGTTTACTCTATATACAGGACACAGATGCTATACTGTAGCTCCTCTGTAGTCAGTAGATTTTATATTGAAGCCGGAGTATTACTTTTGACATAACTAAAAATAAAGAGTGTGTTTATCAATTGAGGACATTTTTTTTTATTTAGCCACCGGTGATGTGTGGATTGGCTTGAATGACCGCAAGATAAATAACTTCTTCACCTGGTCCGACGATCACCCAGTGAAGTTCACCTACTGGGCAGTTGGGGAGCCCAGCAGCGAAAATGTGAACTCTGAGCACTGTGTGAAGATGCTGCGTCAGGTACGGCGACTTCCTTCGCGGCTGAATATTACTTTCCCTGGAAATGGCCGCTTTCCCTGGAAATGAAGAGTTTTTTTCCCTCAATTTATTTTAACTAACAAGACAGAAAATATATAATTACAGAAAGTAGTAATACAGAAATACAGAAAGTATTACAGTAGTATGACAGAAAAGATAAAATACCTGCATCAGGTACGGTGATGGTTACCACGGTCTCCATGGACGGTGACCCCTAAATACAGAATACTTTTAGCTTTTGAAGCCAACTACACCACCTACCAATAACAAGGATAAGAAGACCAACACCCTCCCTCCAACACCAACAGGTTATCTCCAACAACAACAAGGTCCAACCCACACACAAAGAAAAACAAACACAGAAAACAAACACAACTGCCTAGTCTCAGGCGAAAAACAACAGGCACCACCGACTACAAAAAAAAAAACAACGCATAATGTACAGTATCCACAAGGGACACGCACTCACAGATCAGCACAAGAACCCGTTACTAAAAACCCAGAGTCCCAAAGCCAAGTCCAGCATCACTGTTCTCCTGAAAAAAGCCCCATCCGGCTTGCCTCCTCCCACCACGACGAAGAAAGAGAAGAAACTCTGTCTAGTGCTTCGATCATCTCGGACATCTCTGTCCCAGACAATGTGCTCCTCACCTACCTTGTTTCCTCAAGTCCCATGCGGGGTAGGAGGGAGGAAGATGAGGCTGGAGCCTTCCTCTGCTGCTCTCTGTCGAGTCCCCTCCTGGTGTCCAAGGCCTCTCCTCTGCCCTCTCATCCGTGGTGCACCCTGGTCTGACCCCAACCTGCTCCCCTCCTCTCTTTTGACTAAGGCTAATAAAGACCCGTTCCTGGCCAGGGCTCAGGAAGAGATCAGGGGAGAAAATGTCCTTTTCATGTGCTGGGTGCAGGCAGAGCCAGCGGCCCGGAGCGAAGGAACAGACTGCCTGCATGCAGATGGCCAGGTGTAACAGTGTGGGTCCTTTGCTGCTCTGCCGTCCATCCCTGTCCGGTCTGAGGTCCAGTTGGACACGTCTGGCAGTCCCACGTGTTGCTTCCGAACTGTGTGGAGATTAATGAGTGTCTGTGCAAGGAGGGCACCAGCCCTTCAGGGGCTGTATAGGGCCCCACACCCAGTTTTCCACTGTGACATAACCTTTTCTAACAGAACACCTCATTTGTAGGGGAAACTGCAACATAAATGTCAAGTGCGCAAATGAAGATGAACATTGTCACAGCGCAGATAACATTAAAGAAACTCGAACATCACACACCATTTTTATTAATGGCATAATGAGCTCCCAGATTATTACAGGAATTTAATGTTATCTTCAGCAAGTGAATTATTACCGACCAATAAATGTAAAAAAAATTGAGAGAAGACGGTTAGTTTCAGTGCTTTCGTTGCCCCTCATTCATTTAAACTAAGAGCCCGTGTCTCTGTTCTCTCTCCTAATGGAAGATTTCCCATCTCCAGCCACACTGTAGTGAAGGGTGTGGGACTGCACACTTGCAGCACTATCACACCATGAGCCCAATCTTATCTATCTGCCCCTTAAATGAGCAAGCCAAACAATTCTGATTGTTGCACCCCTATTAAAGAAAAAATAATTGATATGATTTAATATGTATAATTTAATGAATAACATTGCAGGGATGCAGGGTGACAATACTGTCCTTGTCATTTCTTTCAGAGTGGGAGGTGGGCTGATGTGTCCTGCTCTGAATTCAATACCTACATTTGTAAGAAAGCCAAAGATCATTACCCAGCTCCTTCCATTCCCCCAGCTGTATATGGCTGCCAAGAGGTAACATCTGAAAGCCACTGGCTACACATGAAACTGCACCCCTATGTGGATAAACATTAAATGTTTAAGTCCATCAGAAGCTGCTGTATATACTGTACTGTAGAATATACTGCATATATATTAAGTATATAATGTTATAAGCATGAACAACGCAAAGCCTCCCATACTGTTTTCAACAATAACTTTATTTAGAGTTTAGTATATAGAGTTTAGTTTGTTTATAAAAGTTACTAAAAGTCTCTAAAAAGAGGACAAACCAGATCTGGAATTCAATGATCTTTAATTGACATTGATCAGAATCGTCAAACGTTTGATCACATCAGCTCAAGGTAAACTATGTGTGAGCACCCTGTACAGAGTGCAGCTAAACCACCACATTTCCCAAACAAATTCAACTGATTTATCGTCAGATGGTCTTCAGCAGTCAAATCATTTGTTTCTCTCTACGTGCCCATGAAGCTAAATGTTTTTGGAATAAAAATAATCAGATCAGCTTTAATTGTTAGGAACAAAATGGCTTCAGTTACAGTAGTAGACTGGCAGAGCTGTGTTTCTGCATGAAGAAGGATGAAAGATATTGTAGAGAAACGAACTATGTAAACAGTCTATAGCTGTTGCACAGCAGTATGTATATATTCCTTCTAAGATTTAAAAGCTCAGGTGTAAAAGGCTTTTGGACCACAGGGTTCCTTCTCAGTGAGAACGATCTGAAGAGAGTTTGTGATGTCATTCTCCCTGCAGGGATGGGATGCCTATGGCTACTCTTGCTACTGGTATGAAGAAGTCCCTAGGAGATGGTCAGAGGCCAAGAACTTCTGCCACGGCAAAAACAGTAATCTGCTTCACATCATGGACATGTACGAATGGTGAAGGGGAGACTTTCTCCGGCTTAAAATCAGTTGACATGGCAGAAATATGCAACCTGGGTCAGACTCCTAATTGGCCAGCGGGCAGGCTGAAGGCAGGGCTGACAAGCACATTCGCTGCTCAGCTATGATGTGATGTGAACAAGAGAAAGGTTACACCAAGGGTACTCGGCCCATCTAGCCAGTTTGGTAGCGAGTAGTTAATTGATCCAAGCATCACATCCAGCCGTTTCTTGAAAGAAACCTGGGTATCAGATTCAACGGCAGGGCTGGGTAGCTTGTTCCACGCTCCCACAACTCTTTGAGTAAAGATAAGAGCATGGCATTTCTGCTACCGTACGAGGGATAATGAGGAAGCAAAGGCAAACTCTTTCCACCTGCCTGCCTTTGAGCAACTCAATTTTAAGTACGGGAAAGGCAACACAGCCCTGTATTGCAGGGTGGGCGCCCCCTGGAGGACAGGCGTGCCCCTCACTGACAACACTGCATGCCTGCAAGCGCCCAGGAGGCCACAGGGGGCACTGTTTCACAAAGAGAGACCTGGCAGACCCATCCCACCCTCCCCTCAGCAGAGTTGAACATCATATTGATTTGGAGGTCACTGTGCATCAAAAACACGTTGCTCCTGGGCTGTCAGGAACAACATGTTCCTAGAACACCTGGGTTTTGAAGTTTTTCATTCTTATTTAAAATGTTAGTTACACATGGATGCACAGTGTTTGCAAAACAAATCACTCTAAGGAGGAAGAGAGATGCAAATGCTGCAGCCAACTGCCTTTGCTCTTGTCACACCTCAGAGGTGTGGCTCAGGCCAGGCCCGTTCATATGCGTCTTGGGCTGGAGGATGTTGTCAGATCATCATTCTGCTTGAATTTCCATTCATGTTGTAACCTTTCTTCTATATTATGGTTAAAGGGACAAGTGGTGTAAGATTTCACATATACCGTGGGAGGTGTGTTAAACACAGGTCCTTCTGCATTCTTTTTCCAAGAGCAGGTTGACCCCAGTGCCATTGCCAGAACTGTGCAGCATATAACCTGCTGGCCAGCCTAAAATTCGCTGACCTTTGTAATGGTTAAATTTGTACTGCCTCCATAATCCTTTTTACCTGGGTCAATCTTTAGTGCAAAAAACAGCTTCTGTTTCTAATTCCAGATACAGTATGGCTTGTCTTCAGTATACAATTGGTTATGTACTTAAAGCTTTATTGCAGAAAGCTTTGTAATTCTTGATCTTCGTGTAAATCTCTGTATATACTGTACTGTATATATAAAAAGACATCACATTGTTTCGACCATTTGTGTAGGAAACAGAATAGGCTTATGGGGTCAGTCAGTTCTAACTATGCCGTTCTCCAGATATGAGCAGTCCCATTTCACTGTCAAACTGGCGGGCCTCTCCGGTTTCTGGTGGATTGGATTGAGAGCCAGAGGAAACACTACAGGAGGTGTGGATTATATCTGGGAGAGCGGGGCACCAGTGACCTTCACACACTGGGACAGGGGGCAGCCAGGTAATGCAGAATTCGGTCTTTCATTTCAAGAGACATTTAGATCATGTCTGACTTACCTTCAATGTCCCCTCATGTGCCAAAAAAGGGAGTGTGGCATTGTTTAATTTTTAGACTATAAGAGCATAAGAAATGTTATTCATGAGTATCGTGCATTTAACCCATGTCTGTACATTACCGTCTTGCCCACTTAGTGATCCTGTAACAGTGTCAGGTATGGATGTATGGATTTGAAAGTTACCATTGCCTGTGCCTACATGACATTTAACCAGGAATCCACACAATGTTATTCCTCCGTGTAATAACATTTTAGATAATGTCAATGCAAAAATGTATTTTACTGAGACTGGAAACATTTAAGTTCTTTCGATCTGTCCTCAGTACTCATCTCCCTGAGTATTCATCCCCACATGAGCTTCACTCTGGTTACTCTTTTCTGATTTTTCTCTGAAGCTTTTTCATCACTTTTCTGAAGTGGAGACCACAGCTGTGCTGTATAGTGCTCCAGAGGTGCATCTGTAGGCAGCGCTCTTTGCTATACGTTTAAGCATTCTCTTTGTGTTTTTTCATCCCTTCCTCTTATTGTATACATGTCACGAAGCGTTCTTTCAGGACCCTATGCAGACAGCACAATCCGGGGAGGATTGAGGAAAACACAGGGAAAAAAGCATTTGAAAGGGCTGGAAGGAAAACAGGGGGCGTGTCCTAGGTGCACTGGTGTTCAGGGGGGTGTGTCTGAAGGAGTCCAAGGCAAAAC